GAGCACTGTATACAGTAGGTGCTCAGTGCCAATGAAACAACTACTAAAGACATCATGTTAACACACATACAATTAAATAAATCCAATAAACATGACTTATCAGCATTAGATCTAACATAAAACTTTAATGTACATCACTGATAAGAAAAAAAAAATTAAAAAGAACCACAGATAAGTCAGTAAAAAGGCATATAAGTGAAGTTTTATGCAGCAAATTCTGGTAAAGTCAATTTACGGTTATTACCTGTTTATATTAAAGAAACTAAATATTGTTAACCAGGAGACACTGTAGTATTTTTACCGTTTTTTTTTTTTTTTTTTTTTTTTTTTTTAACGTTGAAACTACAGTAATTTTTACAGTGTTCTTTCAGAACATAGATATGAATAAACCTGTGAAGTTAAAAACCTTCACTACAAGAGCACTTACACAGTGCCGGAGAAAAAAAATAATTGGCAAACATTTACAAGCGTATTTTTTTTCCTTTAATAGAAATACTAAAACTTTATGAAAAGTGAAAAACTGTTTCAAAATCAATGATTTTACCTGTAGAGTCTTACCTTAAAGATTTAATTTGCAAGCATTTAGACAGCATGATGGCATCTCAGAATTGCTTTACCTGCTTTTGAAGTCTAGATAAACTGTCTGTAAAGGAATGCTTAAATCTGCTATTCTCATCCAAACAAAACAACAAAGACAAATCGGCATCACAATGAAGCCCATGTAATGGTACAATGTTTCCGAGAAGGGTTCCAAAGAAATTGTTATTACGTCTCGTCTACCTGGGACCGAAATAAGATAAACCACACAGATACTCCGGAGATAAGCGTAAGTGGCATCTGTATGGATTACAGCGAAAAGACTCTCCAAAGAAAATTGGCTAAACCGAGGGCCTGTTGTTGGCATTACTGAGCTATTTAATGCTTGTTCCCTTGGTGCTACGCTTGTTATGAGCATGATTATCAACCTGCTTTGAACGGATTCAAATCAACAATCAACAGCATCGATATATGATTTCATTAGTGTGGAGTAAATGGTGTCATTTACGCATTTACACCAAGAGAAACAGAAGCTGTAATTGATTACGTAAACTAAAATATTTGAGGTTAACACGATTAATGCTGCTTCTCGCAATTAGATGGATGGGAGAGCTTTATCGAACCATGACCTGAGACCGTTTTATCCATAATAAAACTATAAAATTAATCTTAATAGAAAATTAATTATCACAGAAAGAGAAAAACACATTTCAAAACACCAAAGCCAGGAATAGCGTCAGCTGCGGTATACAGCAATAAACCGTAAAAAGACAATTACAACAACATAAAGGGGTTTACAGAGTGAGTCATACAAACCATTTAGTTGCCTACATATAAAGTTAATGACAGAAGGTTAATTAGCACTTTATGCTATATATCATCAAATAATGAAGCTACTTCATTGCTATAAATATACACAACAACAACATATGCAGAAAGAAAGAAAAATATTTGCAGAATCAATTATATATATACACACAATGATAAACACTAAATTATTAGCCCTCCTGTCAATTTTTCCCCAATTTTCTATTTAAAGTAGAGAACATTTTTTTAACACATTTCTAAACATAATAGTTATTAACTCATTTCTAATAACTGATTTATTTTATCTTTGCCATGATGAAAGTAAATAATATTTGACTAGATACTTTTCAAGACACTTCTATACAGCTTAAAGTGATATTTAAAGGCTTTTTTTTAGGTTAATTACATAGGATAGGGTAATTAGGCAAGTTATTCTATAATGATGGTTTGTTCTGTAGACTATCGAAAAAAGAGGCTAATAATTTTGACCTTAACATGGTTTTAAAAAATTAAAACCTGCTTGTATTCCAGCCAAAATGTATGTATGTATGTATGTATGTATGTATGTATGCATGTATGTATGCATATATATATATATATATATATATATATATATATATATATATACATACAGTATACGCACACACGCACACACACACACACACACACACACACACACACACACACACACACACACACATACATACATACATACATACAGTACATATATTATATTATATAATATAATATATATTAGTGCTGTCAATCGATTGAAAAAAATTACTAATTAATCACACTTTTTTTATATAATCGCAATTACTCACATCAAAAAGACTGCAACTTCTCATTTTGGCTATTCAAATGTAAAATTAATGTAAACACAAGACAAAAACATTTTTAATTCAAAATATAATTCATTATTATTTTTTTTGTTTAACTTGTAACACAGATTTAAATAAATAAACACAGTAATAAAAACACAGGCATGTTAGTGCTATTTGAATTTCAAAACAATCAATGCCAATATAAAAAAAAATAAAAAATATTTCCAAGGTAGATTCTAAGTGGACTGCAAAAATGCCAAAATACAGGCATTGCAAATATGGAAAATGGAAAATTATAATAATAATAAAGTATTGAATACAAACAATTGTACTCATTGAAAAGTTGTATTGCTGTGAGTTGAGAACATTAATTAGAAACTATTTTTCTTAGTGTTCCTTTACATTCAGACAGTTGCTAAGATAGTCCAGTCTGTTGACATTATCGAGGGACAATGTGGACCTTTTGTTTTGAATGATGTGAGCTGAGAGTGAGAACAGGTAGGATCACAAGCAGGATTACGGAATCAGCATATGCATTTCAGTGCCTAATTTTGTGGCCACTGGTGCTGCGACAAGGACGTAAGAAGCATCAAGCGGTACATCAATGGCACATACAGGTACGCGTTGTGTCACACCAAAGCGCGCACACACACACACCGCAGGACAGCGCAGCCGGAGCGACTCCCTTCAGATTCCACCCGCATGATCGCGTTTATCAAATTTGCTTAAACTAAGCGTCCTGAAGTATGGCTGTATTTCACAAGGATTCTGACACAACAACGTGAAGTAGACAATTTACAAAATTTGCGTTAAAGCGGGAAACACGTCAAACTCAATGAAACCTTGGAGGGCGCATGCTGAAAGGCAGAGGAATGCGCTGACTTTGACAGCTTGCGACTTCATCTGGCACTTGATTTACATGGACACCAATACTCTGCTTTTAATATGATTAAGATAATACTCTTATTAAGAGTCTACCATGTAAAAACAGCGATTTTTGATTACCTTAAAGGACCAATGAGTCACGAAATGTGGAGATTTTTCTTTCCATTAGCCATGGGTATCAAATTCCATTAAAACAAAAGTCGAAAGTTAAAAATGAAACATACGAAATTAGATGAAACTCTAGAGGAAACGCTAGAGAGCCTTGAATGCGACATTAATTATTTTATACTGAAACTTGCCTTAAAAAAGTGCTTCCTGGGCCTTATCCATATTTCTTTGCATGTTGAACAAACCACAGCTACAACAGGAAAAAAAAAAAAACTGCCTTAATTGCATTAATTTTTTAAACACGTTAATTATTTCAAATTAATCGCATGCGTTAACGCACTAATTTTGACAGCACTAATATATACATACTTATATACATATACATATGTATTAGCCAGGGGATCACATTAAGACACTACCATTTCTTCTTCTAGTGAGACCTGCAAGATAGCAGCACAAAGTTTCACACACATAAAAAAAAAAAAAATAGAACAGAAAACAAAATAACAAAATCACCATTCGTAAAAATAAGATCAGACCATAAAAACAATTACAGGTATTCTTTAAGACATTATATAGAAAATGTTTAAATGTACTCAGAGTCAGAAATGTGTCAAGATTAAGCCAATTGTGGAGGTCATTCCAAGCTCCATGGGAGCATAAAAGGAAAAAGCACATTTGCCAATACCCTTGGGACTGTTAACCAAATACAGGAACCAAATCTAGTGCATTGGTTATTTATGTGAAATGTTAGCAAATTAGAAAGATGCGATGGTAGTTTACCCAAATCGAGCCTTTAAAGTAAATAAGTACAAATGTAATTTTCACCTTTGATATAAAGATGTAAGGAATTGTACAAAATACAGTGATGCGTCTGTGAATCTGCAGCTGTGACAAATGCGTATTGCTGCGTGATAAACAGAAGTTTACTTGATAAAGTAGCAGCTACATGCATATAGATGATCACTATAATCAATTTTAGACAAGAATGTACTATAAAAATGTGAAAAGCTATTAAAAGGGACATAAACACACTATCAATGTAATAAAAGCTTAATTCCAATAAAAAAAGCATTAAACAAAGATAAAAATGACTCAAAAGCACTAAAGTTACATGATACTAAAATAACTTTAAAAATTACACATGCAATGTTTGCTAAATATTTTGTTTTAATGCTTTAAATCGGCAAATATACAAGCAAGTGTAGTGGAAGCAAAAACCCAAACCTTTTCAGTATTAAACTATTTAAGGTCGCCAGTGAACATCAATTCCATGCAGTAATGCTGGAATCAAAGCCTAGGCCGGAGTTTAGCGGAATGCATTTCAGATTCCATTGAATCAAAGTTGCGAGCCTGAAAAATATTGCCCGCTATGATTGCCCCAACTTCAGAAAAGTTGAATGTCTTTTTAACTGCAATTACAGCTGTGCGAATGTTATATTTTCTGCCAAATTAGCTTGGAAACGCTTGATCCTACGTGCACTCCTAAAACGTGTCTTTTTAAAACTGCAGGCACTGTATTTAGGTATGAGCCCACTTCAAAGGTGTAAAACTGGCACCTTGAAAATGTTTTAGCACTCGGGTTGAAAGCATTGTAGCCTTCATTAAAAGGCAGAACCGAAAGTTCTATAGACACTGCCGTACTTCAAACTGGGGGAGGGCTTTCCATTAACTTCAGTGTAAAAGGGTTGCAAGACTTTCCGCCTAATTCCGACGAAATGTGTGTGAGCGAGTGTGTTTGTAGCCTCTGTGTCTTTGCAGGCAAAATGTCCGCAGACCCATTAGCTCAATTTGTCACAGTCGGAGCGCCCCGCGAGATGGCTTATCTGGGCAACATACCTCTCGAGTAGCAAGGCTGTCACTCAGTTCTTCCGCCTTCCCATAGTCCCCTTCAGCGATGGCACTCTCTATGCTCTTTTCCAGGCCTGACTGAAGATGAGAAGGAGGGAAATAAATGAAGTGATTTTCAAATAGAAAAAGGAGGGAAAAAAATCAAAGAGTAACTTAAAAACTCCCTCGGGCATTCTTTTTAATATGATTGCCATTACAACAAATATGTAGATTTCTTCTCATAAATGAAAATCGTCCGTTGATTAAATATTAGGCAAAAAATCTGTCTAGCCACAGGAGGTTACCAAACATAAATGTTGGTGTTTAATTAGATATTTCCATCAAAGAAGCAGAGCTGGTGGAGAAGAGCTCTCTGTCTGCTGTACTGCGGATCTTCAGAAGGCAAATCCCAAAACAAATATTATACCAACGCATTCTTTATACCGGTTTTGTTTAAAAGGATAGGGGTTTTCTTTGTCATTTACTCCACTTGTTCCAAACCTGACTGAATTGCTTTTTTATGTTGAACATAAACCAGTAGCCACTAACACCCATAGTGGGAAAACATTACTGTGTATGTGTAAGTCAATGGCTACCACCATTCTTTACAATATACACTACCAGTCAAAGGTTTGGGCTTAATAGGATTTTTAAATAAGCTTATCCTGCTCACCAAGGCTGCATATTTTTCATCAAAAAAATACAGTACAAATTGTAACAATTTTTAAAATGTTATTGCACTATAAAATAAAAGTAGTTTAAAAGTAGTTTATCATGTAATTTAATAATTTATTCCAGTGATTTTAATGATGAATTTTCAGCTTCATTCCTCCAGTCTTTAGTCACAAGACCCTTCAAAAATCCCTCTAATCTAAATATAAATATTGTTGTTGTTGTTGTTGTTGTTGTTGTTGTTGTTGTTGTTGTTGTTGTTATTATTATTATTATTATTATTATTATTATTAATATTAATATTATTATTATTATATTTAAAAATAATAATCAAAATTGTAATAAAAGCAATAATGACTGGAGTAATAATTTTATTTGAACAAAACAATATAAACAATAAGTAATAAATAAATATTTAATAATTAAGTATTTAACAATTTACTTTTTTTACATTTAATAAATTCTGCCTTGAACAGAATATTTTTATTTAAATTATTAAATAAAATTAATTAAAAAAATACAAATAAAAAAAAAAAAAACACCCCAAACTATTGACCGGTAGTGTATTCAAATTTACATTTCGTTCATCACAAAAAAAAAAAAAACTCAGAACTACATTTAGAGTAAAATGTGAGTATTTTCATTTTTGAGTGATCCTTATGGCCAACAAAACATTGAAGTACCTAACACTACATTGAAGAAGAACAACCTGACATCATTTATATTCCATAACAGTCATATAATACTCATTCTGCTTAGGTAAACATTTCAGAGAACCCGTTCCAATCAGCCGCCCTCACAACTCTATTAAAATGTATTTTCACAGCATATGCTCAGCTCTTTAATAATGTTTAATCCAAAAGAGATACAGCTTTTGAAAATGAGGGGGGGAACGGAGCAGCGAAGCTGTCTAAATTAGCAGGACAACCGGATATATATAATCAAAACACTATTTTAACTCAATAACCCAATATTTTAACTTGCTAATGCAAAATTATTTGAGCTCAACGTTAAACGATACAGACAATTGAATTAGTTTTCCTACTTTAAACAAATTGCATTTGCCGACATTCTGCTTACATGACAATTTACAAATTAAAATAACTGCAGAAAGTGTTTTGAGTTTATGCTGCTGAATGATAAGTAATAGGCATTAGTGCAAAAATGGCTTCAAGTTACAAATGAATTAGTTCTGTTTACAAAGCTTTGCACTTAAAGAGACTTATTTATAGGAAATTTAATCAGGAATTTCCTGCATGACCAAATTAAATTATGAAGCAATGTACAAAGTCAGCTTTTCCGAATCGTTTTGTACTCTCCCATATACTCTGCTCTCAACTCAGATATCAAATAGTGTAAAAAGACGTATTACTGTATAAAATAAAACATGATGAAATATGCAAGCCAACCTGTGCACACCTCATACAAATCTCCACATACACCAAATCACCACAAACCTGTGTGTACAAATATCTTATCATGCAGATGGGAAAAATGCAACACTGCAAATGTTCCAGCAAAATGAAGCCATTATAAATGCACAGTAAACATTTAATGCAAAGAAATAAGGTCTATAATACAGTATATACAACTGTGGGACAAATTACCCTCAACTGAAAAATCCCTAGAATTCCTGGAATTATTTATTATTGTTTTTTTCTTAACAATATCTTATTAAAGTACATCTTTAAAACATGTATTGTGTTGTTTAAAAATGCATATAAACATGTCTAAAAACTATCAACTATTTTTTTTCAGCTATGTTTTTTTTTAATTACATTAATTACATTACTTCAAAACTATTTCTAAATTCAGTTCTTATTTCCAACAAATGAATAAATTTATAAACTTATAAAACTTATAAAACTTATAAACACACGTCCTATGCCCCATTTGGTCCAAAACCTGACAGGTGGACAAATCTAAGCTTGTTTTTAATATTAGTATAAATATGCATATAATAAGTAATACTGCTAATAATAATAATAATAATAATAATAATAATAATAATAATAATAATAATAATAATAATAACAACATGACACAAAAGCAAGTTGTTGTGAATAAACTGAAAAACCCCCCCGAGATGAAGAAGGCATGAAGACAGTGATTTTTGAAAAAAATAATCATTTTTGTATTATTCGAATCCTTTATTTCTTTTTCATTTGTAAATGTATTTATGTATTGCTGTACATACTGTATGCATTAAGCAATATGTAAGTGAGGCGCACAACTAAATCGCTCTGCGATGGACTTTAAACCTACTTTCAGCTGGTTTATTGCACAATCTATTTTAGTTCCTCAAAATAGCAATGCCAACAATGCCCCTTAACACACCTCCCTTCTAGACCTGGGATCTGTTCTTCGTACCTCGCTTAAATGATCTAAGATTATTTGGCAGATCCTGGATCTTTAAATCTTGATAACTGATCTGTCACTAATTTGGTTCTTTAAACAAGTTCGCGAATCAGATTAGAATGTCTGGATATACTGATCTGAGATCGCTGCATGTGTTGTGAAGGACAGATCTATCGATCCTCAAAATCATGATCAGCAATGCAACGATTGGCTGACGGCACAGCAGCGTAATGACATCATCTGATTAATATTCAATTATCCATGTGAGCAAAATTAGCAAATTAGCAGTAAACGGTTTGTTAAATATGACACGCAATAACCTTCCACATTTGTTGTGAGCTGCAGGCTTTACACTTTCATGTGTCAAAAGTATTCATCATGTATTTCAATGCAAATCAATGTATTTAGATCTACATATAGAAAAGATTTTCTTTATTATAGTACAGTTTTTTAATCGGTGTAAAGAATAACTGGTTGTTTACAAAAGCATTTTCATATTGGTAATGGCGTCTGCAACTTTTGTGAAGCATCAAATCTCTGGCATATTACCTATCAAAACATGTTTATGACTGCATAAATGTATTATTGCTTTTAAAAAAAAAGTCACATATTGTGCATTTCTATTATACACAATTTGTACTAAAGCGATCTAAAAAGTTCATATCAATAAGTTTTCTCTTTGCACCACCAGGTGGCAGTCTTTGTACTTTCATTTTGAGGGTGCAGATTGCAGAAGTTTTATTAATATGTATAACTTTATTTATTTTATTAATGACTATAACTTTATATATATAGTAAAAAAATATGTACCATTTTCCCAAGTGTATATAACTACTACTGTAAGAAAATATCAGAATTCGGAACATACTTTCTGTATTATCTTTGCTTGAACTAAGCCGATCTAATCCTGTTTATATGAATTGAACCTGCCGATCAGGTTTGACCTAGCAGAACTGTTGCTATGACAACAACTCTCGGATCAGCTTTGAAGAACGAAACAATCCTGGATCGTGTCAAATCTTCAATATCCAAGTCCAGCTAACTGAGTAATCCACGTACGAAGAACGGACCCCTGAACACCCATAAATCCACAGAGTGGCGCAAATGGATTTGCTATTTAAACAACGTTGTGGAAAATGGGAAAATTAGGGTTGCACAGGTCTTACACCTTATTGCACCGGGTGTATGATAGTGTGCGTTTCCTTCAATTATTTTAAAATCAAGTAATGCAACTTTCATTCAAAAAACTCACTTTTACTATGAGAGCATATTTTCTGTACAAAACTTATCAGTGAACTGGGAAGGCAAAATAAATAAACTAATCATTCAATAATCGTAATCGAGTTAAAATGTTCAATTAATCAAGATTTTGATTTTAGGCCAAATCGCCCAGCCCTACTGAAAGCATGGCACTTAATAGAAGGAATAGAAAGAAATGTCAGTGGCATTTCAAAAAATTAAACAAAATTGATGTTTTACTTAACTATAATTCATAAATTTAAGTGGTCATTAAACATAAGTTAACCTTGTTAAAAATGATCACATTTTTACATCTATTTTTACATCTAATAGGATAAATGCTTAAGCACAGTTAGAAAAAGTTGAATATTCAAAAACTAACATTAAATGATGTATTCATTTATAACAAAGCCAGCACTATTAAACAAACAAGTCCACATAACCATAATTGTACGGCAACATCTCCATCAAAATGTGAATCTAAAAAGAAGTTAACATTAAATCATAAAAAGCAGGTCCATTTACAAAAGACAAATAAAGGCATATGCTGTTCATTACACTGTTTACACCATGCCTTTTCAGCTTCTGAGTGGGATAAAAAATCCTAATGTCATATTTGTTACACAAGCTGTCCGGTGTATTTGATTTGCGAACATTCCCCTCCCTATCACTGAATTACAGCATTACAGAGAGCTCTGGAGTCCATTGTGCTGTGGCTTTCAATGCAGAAAAATCCACCTCACATAAGAGATATTAAACACCAACCAGAACAGACAGAGCAGCTACATCCTCATGTCAAGATTAAGGTAATCTCATCATTAAATATAATATGATCTATTCTGTTATGCTCAGTGTCACGCAGAAGAAAAGACGCCTCCTCACTCTGTCTTCCACATTTGATAGAGGAAACAATTACGAGTTACACATACAGTAGTCAGAGAACACAGAAAGAAAAAGAGAGAGAGGCAGTGGGATAAAAACACGTTCAGCATCTGAGTGGAATTAGGACACCCACAGAGTGGCAGAGGAAGATGGTGGAAATCATTGTTACCATGAGAGGAGGTTTGCTACATGAAGGCGGCTTGAATCTATCACTGATGCCAAAATACTGCGTGAGCTCCTTCCAGTGCTCCTTCCGTTTCTCTTCAGGCTCCCTGGGCAAAGACACAGAATGACAAGTCCTTCTGTTTATTATTACCATTCACTCGAACGCATACCATGTATACTTTGGGAGATTCAATTATTTCTGTACACATCCTTTTTGCTAGAACAGGTGGATTATGGAAACAGTATATACAGTATATGTGTGCTTAGTGAAATAGGTAGGCAGGAGGTGTCGAATATGAAGACTCTGGTACTCAACATGTTCTATTTGTTCTGGAATACAGGATTTTTACAATCCAACATTTAAATTAAAAACTAAAACACTTAGCAACATATAGTTGTGAACTTTGTATATAAGAAAAATATCATACAGTAAGACAAAACTACAGATCACACCATACCAAATATTTTAATTAGGCATGGGACAATAACCGTTTTCAAGGTATACAGCGGTTTGGAAAATCAAAATTTTAGAACTGTCTAAATTATTTGCTATACCATTCCTAAGGTATGTGTAAGATTTGTTGTTCTTTATAGCATAACAGTATCTCCAGCAGAAAAGCTATCCAAAAGTGCTGTTTGAAACACAGCAAAAGTCAATAATTCATTTGAATTATTGAGCCTGATATGTTTATTGCTCCAAAATATTTTAAAAATTTCTCAAAATAAAATACATTGTGTTTAAAGGGGTACAAAAGTTTTTGTTTTTTACCCAGACATTTTAAAATGATATATTTTAGAGCAGTAATCACAACATCATCATACCGTGATATTTTCATACCGTCAGAATCATATACCGGTGCCAAATCTCAAGCAATTACAAACTAGGAGTGTGCAATATTTGAGTGTCTGTGGTAATATTGAAAATGTTGTTCAAATAATATGTGATTTGACATTGCTGAGATTGCCTCTCACTCACTCATATTTTATATATAGACATATTTAAGGTATAGCGACACAGTGACACAGTGATTAGCGATGTCGCCTCACAGCAAGAAGGCCACTGATTCGAGTCCCGGTTAAGTCAGTTGGCATTTCTGTGTGGAGTTTGCATGTTGTCCTCATGTTTGCATGGGTTTTCCCCAAAGTCCAAAAACCTGCACTACAGGTGAACTGAATAAGCTAAATTGGCCGTAGTGTATGTGTGGATGTGAATGCAAGAGTCTATGGGTGTTTCTCAGTGATGGGTTGCAGATGGAAGGGCATGCACTGCGTAAAACATATGCTGGATAAGTTGGCAGCTCATACCGCTGTGGGGAACCCTGATTAATAAAAGGACTAAGCTGAAAAGAAAATGAATGAATAAATGAATGAATATTTAAGTTACATTGAACGCATGTGCATGTGAATGCGATCCCTAATGTGATGTTTATTTTATATAACAATTTTTAAAAAATAAAAAGTTACAGCAGTTCAAGATAAATTAAAAAGTTTGTACGTTGTGTAAGCAACTTTAATGAACTTTTTTGCAAAAGGAAGGAAATAAAGATCCCATACTACTAGATATTTCAAGCTGTTCTGATGATAATATGATAATATTCTATGGTGATATTGTAAATGTCACTCACTGTGTTGGAAATTACAGCCTATCAGACTCAGACTATAAAACAAACGTATGTTATACCACACACATACACAAACAACAACTAAAAAGTCTGCATGTGCATGTGATCTCTAATGTGATCTTTATTTTATACAACAGTTCAACAAAACAAACAACAGATTGTGCAACAGATCAAACTAGAAAAAGTATATAATTACATTTCAGAACAAATCAAATCATCAAATAATGATTCAAAGATCCTTTAAATAAAAAAGTCACTTTAAACAAATCATTAGAATAAAATATATAATGCTATTTTTAAAACAAGGGTCCCCAAGAAAACCCCACGGAGCTAAGTGCAAGTTTATCAATGGAAATGTTTGGAGAAAAAAAAAGCTTTAAAAAAATTTTCAAATAAAACTTAAATAATAGGAATAATCAATAGGAATAAAAAAATGTATTTAAATAAAGTCATAATTGTGATAAATGTATAATTATAAAACAAATCTAATAAATAAATAATGTAAAATGTAATTACAATAAACAAACAAATTAGATTTAATGAAATAAATGAAATAAAATAAAATGAAAAGATAAAATAAAATAACAATAAATGTGTAAATCAATAAAAACATGTATATTCATAGTAAACTGAAGCTTTTTGTAAGATACTTTACATTTTAGAACAAGGATCTTTAAACAAGTATGATTCTGTTTGAGGGTTCATAGGATCTAAAGACTGAAAACACCTGAGATCATCTTTAGCCTGTACATTTTGTATAGGCTAAAATGTACAGAGAATTGAATGTCCTGACATCAATATGAAGATTTCAGTCAATTCACATCAGTGCTGAAATAATGGATACCATTTTCTAAAGGCTGTTTAGAGTAATACATTTCATTCTCTCTCTCATATGAACTTCTGAATAATTGGTGATTATCTAAATGACTGCTCTGGTTTGGAAATCCTCATTGAACATCATACCTTTTCTGTTCAGAGCTGCAATTCTCTGTCCCACCTGTTAGAGACATGAAAACAAAATATATCAAAACAATGTTTCTAAGAACACATGCATAGGCATTACTTTATATCTGACAGAGTAAAATCATGTTGTTCTTCAAAAGTAATAGCACTGTATGTTGACGATGTTAGTACTGTTATAAAGACTACTAAACAGCATTGAGGTAACAGGGGTTTTATTTTCATTCAGACTTTCTCCTTGATAATATAATTTCAGAAAAGTAGTATTGTTTGCAAATTTCTAATAGTGCAATTATATTAGCAACAAACAGCTATCAAAGAACAACATTGTTTAAAGTCAATTAAATAGCACTCATGTTGTTTCGAAGTCATATTTACACGTGATTTCAGTTTGAATATTCAAAGTACACAATAAACAATATAAAGAGCATGTCACTAGTTGACATTGAACGAATGTGCGAATAAAAAAAACAACTTTACCCTTAATCTGGACAATCATGGTACATATTTGGCATCACTGAGTGTATGTGCAATACAAATTAACACACTTCTATTAAGACGTTATTCTTGAATGTAAATGTTTCAAAACCTGAAAACTATGAACAACAGTGAGGTGACGGGGTGGTGCAGTGGGCAGCACGATAGCCTCACAGCTAGAAGGTGGGTGGTTCGAGCCTCGGCTGGGTCAGTTTGCATTTCTGTGTGGAGATTGCATGTTTTCCCCGTGATCGCGTGGGTTTCCTTCCCACTCTCAGAAATAAAGGTACGCGAGCTGTCACTAGGATGGTACCTTTTCAAAAGGTACATATTTGTATCCAAAATGGTACCTCAAAACTATATATTAGTACCTAAAAATTTTAAGAGGAACACTTTTGTACTTTTTAGGTACAGATATGTGCCCTTGATGTATTAAGACCTTTTAGATACAAATGTGTACCTTTTGAAAAGGTACCATCCCAGTGACAGCTCGCGTACAGCGTACCTTCTGAGAGTGCAGGTGCTCTGGTTTCCCCCACATGTCCAAAGACATGTGGTATAGGTTAATTGGGTATGCTAAAATTGTCCATAGTGATTGTGAGAATGAGTATGTAGGTATTTCCCAGTGATGGGTTGTAGCTGGAAGGGCATCCCTGCGTAAAACATATTCTGGATAAGTTGGCGGTTCATTCCGCTGTGGCGACCCCAGTTTAATAAAAGGACTAAGCCGACAAGAATATGAAAGGACTGAATGAAACAACAGTGAAATAAAAATAGTATAAAAGAAGAACATTAGCGGGTAGTAAGAAGAAACCCTGCTATAATCACCTTTCTTATGGCGCCTTTTCCTTTGCCGTTTGATTTGTGGTGGCCTCAAACTCTGGTCATGTTTTGCTCTTTGGAGATCTTTGAACTTCTGTGGTGATAAACACAAACGCACACACAGCTGTCAGCAGTGTTGTTGGCATAAATAATGATAATAAAATATAAGTGGTGACTTGCTTTTTTTGTGATTATACTAGGTATACTAACGTTAGTCAGTTAACGTACTTTCCACATATCCAAGGAGACTCCAGGAAGACAATCTTCCTCTAATGCATCATCATGAACGTCAGATTTCCGGTTATTACATTCAACCTGTGCAGAAGCTGAATGAGGCTCGGTGCCTGACTGATGCGTCTGGTGTTCGTCTGTCTTTTCTGCTGTTTCTCCTTCATCAGCATCATCAGAGCTCAGATCAGCCTCGGTGAGACCCGACGGCAGAAGTCCACTGTACATATTAAAGCTAACGTTAGTCAGTCAACAAAATCGCGATTCTGGCGGACCGCATAATTCTCTGCCACAATATAAAAGCTTAAAGCAACATATCGTAAGACGCGACGGACGACATTGGAAAAACTATTATTTTAGCGAACAAAACAAGTGAAAGCATGACGGTACTGCGTTGTCTTCTGCATTTCCGCATTTTGAACATAGAGCCTCATTATTGGGTCGACGAAGCCACTTCGGTGGTAACAGAAACACCGATTGGTCAATTTAATTAGAGAAAGAAATGGGACTCTGCCCTTTTACAAAATAGCAGAGGCTGCTCTGTGTAGTGAATAACAAATTTGTATAATTTACATGACCGTGTATTTAAATAACCAATTTGTTCAGTAGTAGTAGTAGTAATTATAATAATAATAATAATAATAATAATAATAATAATAATAATAATAATAATTATTATTATTATTATTATTATTATTATTGTGTATTTTACTATAATGTATCGTTATTACTAAATTATTATTATTGTTATTATTATTATTATTATTATTATTATTATTAAAACAATGCTTAAATAAATTACAACAACAAATTCTACTACTACTGCTACTACTGCTGCTGCTGCTGCTGCTAACAACAACAACAACAATAATAATAATAATAATAATAATAATAATAATAATATTAATAATAATGTAATGTATTTTACTGTAATATATCTTTATTAATAAATGATTATTATTAATATTATACAAAATGTTTAAAGTAAAATACAACAACTACTACTGCTAATAATATCAACAACAACTACTACTACTACTACTACTACTACTACTACTAATAATAATAATAATAATAATAATAATAATAATAATAATAATAATAATAATCTGCCTGTTGGATATTTCACACTGGATGAAAGATCATCATCTTCAGCTGAACCTCGCAAAAACGGAAATGCTTGTAGTTTCTGCCAACCCGACTCTACACCATAACTTTTCAATCCAGATGGACGGGGCAACCATTACTGCATCCAAAATGGTGAAAAGCCTTGGAGTAACGATTGATGACCAACTAAACTTCTCTGACCACATTTCTAGAACTGCTCGATCATGCAGATTCGCACTCTATAACATCAGAAAGATCCGACCCTTCTTATCTGAACATGCAGCTCAACTCCTTGTTCAAGCTCTTGTTCTCTCCAAACTGGATTACTGCAACTCTCTACTAGCTGGGCTTCTAGCTAACTCTGTCAAGCCTCTTCAACTGCTCCAGAACGCAGCAGCACGAGTGGTCTTCAATGAACCTAAACGAGCACATATCACTCCGCTGCTAGTCCGTTTGCACTGGCTGCCAGTTGCTGCTCGCATCAAATTCAAAGCTCTGATGTTTGCTTACAAATGACTTCTGGCATTGCTCCTTCTTATCTGCTCTCACTTCTGCAGATCTATGTGCCCTCCAGAAACTTGCGTTCTGTGAATGAACGTCGCCTCGTGGTTCCATCCCAAAGAGGGAAGAAATCACTTTCGCTCACGCTCACGCTCAATTTGCCCAGTTGGTGGAATGAACTCCCTAACTGCATCAGAACAGCAGAGTCACTCGCTATTTTCAAGAAACGACTAAAAACTCAACTATTTAGTCTCCACTTCACTTCCTAATCTGCAATTGCCTCTCTGAATATCACACCAACTGTACCCCCAAAAAAAATAAAAAATACTAATACTACTAATACTTCCCTTCTTAGACTTTACAGACGTGAAACTTACCTATAGCACTTATTCATTGTTGCTCTTATAGTTGTGTAAGTTGCTTCCTTGTCCTCATTTGTAAGTCGCTTTGGATAAAAGCGTCTGCTAAATGACTAAATGTAAATGTAAATGTAATAATAATAATAATAATAATAATATGTATATTAATTTAATGTATCTTTATTAATATATTATTATTATTATTAATATTATTATTATCATTGTTGTTGTTGTTTTTTTGTTATCATTCTTATTATCATTAAAATAATACAGAATATTTAAAGTAAAATACAACAACTACTACTACTACTACTACTAATACTAATAATAATAATAATAACAACAACAAAAATTTTAATAACAATAATAATATTAATAATAATGTGATGTATATTTATGTAATTTATTTTATTAATACATTATTATTATTATTATTATTATTATTATAATACAGATTGTTTAAAGTAAAAACGGTGGCACAGTGGTTAGCATTCTGGGGCATTTCTGTATGGAGTTTGCATGTTCACCACATGTCCGTATGTGTTTCCTTTGGGTGCTCCAGTCCAAAGACGTGGCATAAGTGAATTGAATAAGCTCAATTGGCTGTAGTGTATGTGTGTGAAAGAATGTGTATGTTTGTTTCCCAGTGTTGAGTTGTGACTGGAAGGCATCCACTGCGTAAAACATATGCTGGATAAGTTGGCGGTTCAGTCCGCTGTGGCAACGTCAATAAATAAAGGGATTAAGTTGAAAAGAAAATGAATGAATGAATAATTAGAAAATAAACTATTGTTGCTCAAAAAATAGAATGAACCGTTCCTTATTTTGTGAGCACTATAAATACTGTATAAAGTACCCGTCTTTGTTATACCTTATTTTGTTAAAAACTTTTTTTTTAATATTTACATTTATTTTTAAAAAATTGAAATAAACACAACCTATTAAATGGACTGAACTTCTATAACTAATTATTTTAAAATATGGTGTCAAGTCCGAATAAGGTAACTTAACAAATATTATGGTCAAAAAGATTTTGAGACTCTGATACTTTGATACTTTACATAGAGTACCAAGGTTAGAATGAGCAAACTTATTCAAACATTATTGCATGGCAGTTCCATTCTTTTTTTTTTTTTTTTCTTTTACAAATGGCAAACTAAAACACAATTGCTCATGTTTTCCAGGGTGATAAGAATGCTCTTATATGAGCAATGTCTCCCAATTTATTCCAACAGCTGAGGGCATCACCACATTATCATTCAAATGATTAGCATGCTAATCTTGTTTAGCCTGTGGCACTGGCAGACGAGAAACACTGATGCCTAAATTGCTTATTTATATCAAATAACATCAGTTTTCTGTTTTGTTGCTAAATAGGGGTGGGCTTTGTGCCTAATTGCAAAACCACCTATTTACTTAAATGATTTATTTAGTGTGCACAGATTCTGAGGCAACAAGCTCATTTGTATTGTCATAATGTCAGGAAATTTCATCAATATAATTTCTGCTTATTATGCCTCCAGCGGGGGTGCCACTAGTACTGAATGTGCTCAGCAATTTATCTCTCTGGCTTTTTCTCATTTGCTCCCTCTCTCTCTCTCTCTCTCTCTCTCTCTCTCTCTCTCAATTTGTAGTTCTGTTAGCTGTAGTGAGCGAATAATGTTAATGTTCTCTGCCCTTTTAATTGAGATTTTTTTTGCATTGACCTTTATTAAGTGTATATTGACCTTCTTTGCCTTTATAACCCTTTAAAAACTGCTATATGAGAATATTTTTGTACATATTTGATACACCAAGCTTTAGTGGGCTGTGAAATGATGTGCTCATACTCAATGAAAAAAACCCACCTACAATATATTCAAAGGTCCAAACTGAGCAACTATATTTTGTGCAGACGTTATTTCTATGGCCAAAATGTAAAATGAAGTTCTAATAGTTTAAGTAAATCAATAAGCCCAATACAGTATAGCTAAATAAGTTGATCATTTAAGATGCAATACAAAACAATTATTATTCTGAGATGTTTACATTGTCACATTCATCTAAAACTGATACTGTACATGGATAATCAAGAAAAATCTAAATTGCTTTAATCCAGTACATTTTAATATTTTTTACAAATCAAACCGGGTAGATTACAAAATGTAGCTTGTCACTGATTACAACTTGCATGTGGAATTGTTGTCTGTAATGCTATTTTTTTTCTTCTTAGTCTCTTTATTAATCATGGGTCTCCAGAGCGGAACGAACCACCAACTTTTCCAGCATATGTTTTACGCAGCTGATGCCCTACCAGCTGCAACCTATCACTGGGAAACCCCCAAACACAATCATTTACACACATTCACTACAACCAATTTAGTATATTAAGTTCACCTATAGCATATCTTTGGACTAGTGGGGGAAACTGGAGCACACGGAGGAAACCCGCACAAACATGGGGAAAACCTGCAAACTCCACACAGTTCAGAGTTCAGACTGCATGATTTTAGCCCCAATTTTGATTCGCCGACAGGTTTTGAGAAATTGCCGACAAATGTCTGAAATCACAGGCAAATCAGTGCTTGTGCACATGAGTGACAATCACACAGTGTGAACTACCAAAGCCTGAGAGAATAGCTGATGAGTCGCCAGTGCCTGTGAGATATTTGGCATGCTAAATATCTGGAGCTGTCTGCGATTTAAATCATGCCATGTGAAATGAGTTTTAACTTAAAATAACATAGGCGATCGCTTACAGCCAATGAGAGAGCAGCATCCACTTGTGTGTGTGTGTGTGTGTGTGTGTGTGTGTGTGTGTGTGTGTGTGTTTACCTATAGGCCGGCGGGAGGTTGAGGGAGAAGTTAAAATCGCTCATTTTCGGTTTATTTAGACCCAGGAAAGTGGAGTTGAGGTTTGACAGGAGCACCCGTGTCTGTTTGATGTTTCATACAGAAAGTTAAAAAGGAAAGTTGAGGAGAAATGGCTAATTCCCTTCAGGTGAGCAAATATGTACATTTTCTCCCCATTAAAGGCTCCTTTCTCGTTATGTAGTTAATAACAAAAGATATACGTATTTTTGGCTGTTGGACGTAGTTTGGATGAAGTTGTCAGCGATTCTTCAAATTGTAAAGTCATGCAATGTGAAAGCCCCTGTCGCCAATCCATCTTGCAGTGTAAACAAAGCAGCAACAAAACGCTAGCCCAGATAGTCATGCAGTGTGAAAACATCTGTGAATGACTACTTTGATCATGCAGTCTGAACTCATCATAATCTCTTTATTAATCAGGGGTCGACACAGTAGAATGAACCACCAACTTATCCAGCATATGTTTTACGCAGGGGATGCCATTCCAGCTGCAACCCATCACTGGGAAACATCCATACACACTATACCATACACACACCCAATTCACCTATACCACATGGACTGTGGGGGAAACTGGAGCACCAAGAGGCAACTCACGCAAACATGGGAAGAACATGAA